TTTCTTCCATTTTTAGTCCCACTGATTATAAAATCAGTCTAGATTCGATAAGGAAAGACCGGAAAAATATTAAAAATGATCTAGAAAGATGGAATCACACTTGGAACAATTCAGGACAGCAATTTTCATATTATACTCGAGACGACTAGCAACGAAAGAAAGACTTTGATAGAGTCTTTGCTGAGAATTATTTTTTTCAAAATGTGAATAACTAGGATATTTGTTGAAAGTTAATTCGTGCGACACCGTTCTTGAATGAAATAGAGAAACATAGTAAACAACTTCATTTATGTTTACTCAATATCTATATAATATAGCGTGAGAAAATACGTTAACGAAAAAGAACGTAATTCTCAGGATAAAAATAAAGATTGTGTTACATACAGGTTTCTGATACTAGCTCTGTTAACATAGTCAACATCGGCTATTTTCGTGACGTAATGTCACAAAAAGGCACAACTTCAGAGACAGGGCGAACTGAAATTTAGAAGGGATCTAAAATTTATTCGTGCGAGTGAGAAAAGCTGCTGAATAGGAAACAATGCGATATTATTGAAGATCTGCAATGAACCAATGACTCGGTGTGTCACCGATTTCGAAGGAATTTCCCAGAACCGATGGAAAACAACACCCTCTGCTTTTTTCTTTTTCTCCACGCACGCGGTGCTCATTTACATTCAACAAGTATTCCATTCGTATATATATATGTGTGTGTATGTATATGTATATATCTCAAAGCTCACGAGAAAGAGCGAGAGTGTGTCAACTTTCCACTCGCGTCACTTGACAAACGTGCGAATGATTATGTATTTAAATTCTTGTCGCGGCGACCAACGAGCTTCGAACGATCCTCAAACGAGAGAAACCGACTGAACGCGATATTATCCAGTGCGCGGAGCCCGATGTATCTTCGTCGAACGTGGATGTGTCACTGCGGCATAAATCGGCCGCGTGTCCCGATAGGAATCACACGCCGGCTATTGGACTTCACTTCTAACAAGCGAGCCCGCCTTAGATATTGCACGTGCCCAGCGAAAGAAATATAACAAGGCCGTAAATTATAGTGTTAATCAGCAACGTCCATTAATACAGGATGCCAAGGGTAAATCACGAGGCAGAATGTTTTGGTAAACCACGACCGAGAGGAGGGAGAGATTATTCATAGAGCAGGAGACGGAAAGAGCAGTACAATACTTGTTATTGTATATTATATACCAAAAAATACCTACAACAAGTGTAATCAACTTTTATTTATATACATTTATCTGTATATAATACACGATTACATAAACACGTCTGAGTATGTAGAGTGTTCCAACAATCGTGGAATTAGCAATGAGATGGTTCTATATGTTAAAAAAAATATAGAATAAAATATTTGCGTTTTAGTTAAGAAGAATCGGGTATAAAAATTTATTTTTAAAGTTCTCTGTTCGCAAGTGTTTTCGACGCTAACAACAATAATAGAGGAACGAAGCAAAAAACGAAAAAAAAGTATTTTCGTGTTATCGAACTGTGTCCTTCGGCCATAAATTTTATCGTAATGCTAATCAACGCGACTGTAGCGCTATGATCGTCTCTCGTTATCAAACGATTCGTGATCACTTGTATCTGACGAGGTCGTGTGACAACGTTATCTGGCCGCGTGTCTACGCTCCCATCCTAATTCAAAGTCTTCTCTTGTTAGATAGAACGTGCTGCGTTTTTCAAAAAATGCAGAAAATTACAAAATATGAAAGATAGGCATAATCATTCGCGCGACGTAAGTGCTAAACGAGCAATGGAATAATTTGATCCAGTCTCTGTGTCAACAACGACTTGTTGAGTCTCGCAACGTTGCTTCACTTTCAACACACTGTTTCGCCTCACGTGCGCAACTTAATCTACACAGAGGCGAATTTTATTTTCAACATAATGTTAATGCTGCTGGCCAGTCCAAGGGAATAAAAAATGACTACTTATTGCAAATTAGTTTGAGTAACAGCAGAATAATGGACACATCTAATTGCAAGTTAAATATGTACATAAATGTAGCATGTATATGACTTTAAGAATTTTCAAGCAACAGAACAATTCAACTGTGCATATTATATAATACATTCGTGGATATTGCATCACGTTGTTTCTTTCTGAAACTGTGTACTTGACAGTAATGCAGTAAGTTTACAATTAATTTAAACGATTTGATTTGACGAGATTTTCTTATATTCCAATGATAATTATAATTCTTTTCACAGATTAAATATTTATGTATTCAACGAGGGCTAACATTTAATAAAACAAAGGAAATAATTGACAATTAATCGTATAACAAAGTAATCGAAATTTCTCCATTTAAATTTTAATTTTGTTGAAATTTAGATTAGTGCTATCTGCGTTATTGATGAAGCAAACAGAAGGGCTAAATAGAAATGTTTGAGGTTATCACTGCAGAAGAGATAAATCTTGACACACGAGTGTGAATGTTTCGTTGATTTGAATTAACTTTCGCTGGTTGGTCAAACTTTGCAAGAAGAATTAATCGTGTAAAAGGAATTAGTGGAAAGAATTGAAGGTTATCGTTATTTCGCGAATATATACTAGAAAATACATCCCTTTATGTATTAATACGACTCGGATTAACTTGACAGTTCTCGAGCAAGATTATCTGAAGGTCGTGCGTAGTTGTTGACTCGGTCTCTTTATCTTCTAATTCTAATACAAGTTCTTGACAAAAAATATATGTACACAAGTTAATGCAACTCGAGACAATATTTAAAAAGAATAAAATATAATATCAAATAACAAAGTGACTTTCAATTGTGTTACATAACTCGTAATATAATGAATATAATTATGTTTAAATTGTATTATAATTATAACTATCAATAATCAGCTGATATTTAACAATTATGTTCATGTATCGTGCATATAAAACTTACATCCATAATTATGTATAACATTTATTGCGCGCCATTTTTAAATCAATTTTGAACTCATCTGAACTTGTCCGCTCAATTTATGTTCCTTCCACAACATTAAATGACATTCAAAGCGACGGGATTAATTACTGTCTGTAGACAATAGCAGAAATTTAAAAATTTCACAACTTAAGAATAACGTTCCTAATTTTGCAATTATTGCTATGTAATTTATGTGTAAATGAGGTGACAGGTTTCATATACATATACCATGCCTGTGTGTTTACAAAGTCTCGCATCTTTTGCAGTCGAATGAAGTGTAACCGCAGACCATTCCACATAATCTTGCGTAATAAACGCCTTGGAGAAAGAGGAACACTGTTCTGTCGTCTGTCCGTAGCCGAGACAAGTTGTTTCACGTGAAACTCGAAAATAATCTAATAATTATTTCAAACCAACAATTAAAAATATAATTGCAATGGTCATTGTTTGTCTCTAAGCGTCCTCTCGCGGCGATCCTAATTTCACCGTTTTTTTTTTAAATGTATAAAATTACAATTTTGTGAAAAAGAAAATTTTTAATCAGTTCGACGATAACTTCAGTTGCATTCGTATTTGTGGTTCAACGGTACATGATATCTAACAGTAACTGTGTATATATATGTGTATATAGGGTGGAAGAATATGAATGATCTTGAAGCAAGGTCAAAGATTCGCGCGCAATTCGTTGTTACATCAGAATCTATAAAAGATCTATAAAAGATCAATATCAAAGAAGTTGTCTGACAATGTTAATCTTTTTATCGTTTTATTACTACCATAATACAATCTATTTTTCTGATAATAGAAAGAAATACTTCGATCCTGACGTGACGAGTTTTCCACTTTATAAGATTCATTTTTATTTTTATGTAACGTTTTACTTTAAAATATCAAAGTAATGATCGTCAAATTGTATTATTGTACCTATGATTTCATGTACGATACTGAAATTAATAACAAATTACATTTGCTTAGTTTCCAAATTTTAGACTTCATCGTAGTCACCAGTCGTGACACGCATACGAATACACACGCACACAGTTACAACAACCATCTATTCTTGGAATAATTTATTTATATATCGCACATAAAGCCTATAATTTGCTTTTATATTTGCCATCCTAACGTTTTACCATTCACGCGTCTATTTTTATTTTATCATCTAGAATATGATAACCAAGCGATATAAGTTTAACACATCTTAATAAAATGAAACGGCTTCGTTAAAATCATAGATGAAGCAAAAAAAAATAAAATAAAAAGACCGATCATATATGAAATGAATAAGAATAACTCGTGATGATCGCAGGAAAAAATACATAACCTCAACATATGCGAAAGGACTGAAATCTCTGCATGCAGGGAAAAATGAAACGTGGTAAAAAGTAAATCAATTATTATTTGAAATAATAATTTGAAAGCAACATGTGATAAATAATAAAAGAGTATATTGTAAGTTAAAGTAACGTTCTATGAAAAATTCAACAACGCGAAATTACGATCATTTATGGTTAATTGACGATTCAGGAGAACAAACGGAGGGAGAAGGAAACGAACAGATGTTTTACCTTTCTATCATCTACTTGCAGCATTGTCCACGTCTAACGCTTGTCTTCAGTATCGTTGCAAAGGTTACCGAAAGACAAAGTCTCCCCGCTTTGGATTCCGGTCACCAGTGTTTAGATTTCGTGCCTGTCTATACATACAGCAGTTGTACTCAATCTGTGGATCCTGTAGGTTCTCAGCAGCGTGCGTGCATACGCCATTGGCGAATTAAATCTACATGTACATAATCTATTATATCATATAATTATTACATATTATATAATATAATGTATATTATCGTATGTTATATAATTATATTTACAGCACGAGCTGCAATCCATCCTGCGTATATGTAGATGTAGACACGCAATAATAGCAAAATAGCAATCATTCTATCAACAAAAATTCAAATAATTCAATAATTATAAATAATATTTTTGCATAGCTTATATACAGTAATCTGTAGATAGTATGCGTATGTGCGTAACATTCTTAATCAGTAGCAGTCTTTCAGGAAAAATACGAGACTTGGGGCAACCTTATATAAAATCGTTGAAACTGAAACAAGTTATATAAAAATATACAAATATATTTTTTCTACATATATGGAGTTGCCCATAAGATCATGAGCCGCCCTTCTTGTCCCCTTCATCCCTCTGCAGTCTTCCAAACATCCCTTCGATGGAGTTTGACCAACAGTAAAAAAACGATTCTACAATGACTCTGCAAAAGTTACGTAACTTTATGAAAAGAGGAAAAGAATGACGAAGAAAATTTTCGTTCGTTCAATATTTTTTCTTTCTTTGAGGTTATGTAACTTCAGCTTTGACTCAACGTTGAGGTTAGAAAGAAACAATCATGGCGGAGATATCTTGTAACAGCGCAGACGAATGCACTCCGGCGAAGAAAGCCAAAATAGAAAGAGAAAATGATTCTGAGAATCCTGGTAGCATACACGACGCGGAATTTTGTTTGTCCGCGTTTAATGTGAAGAAAGTACTGCAGCATAATTGCACGAGGAAACAGATATATATAGAGGGTGCTTTCAAGGGGCATGAAGGGCCGGCAGTCGTCGTGCTGGAGAAGCAGAATTTCTTCGACGATCAGGAAACTCTGAAAGAATTGTTCGACGACAAGACAGACTTGCACAAACTTTACAAAAATGACATTTACGGGAATTATGAGTGTTTCCCCCTTAAAAAGTACAATGGTATTGTATATCTACAACAAATTTATAACATTATTTTATTCTTTTTTCCTTTTTTTGTTCAATTCTTGAAAACAATTGTATTGTTTATTTATTTACTATATCATTTAAGGTATAAACGCGACGATAATACATCCTGCGACGGCAAAACATATCGAAAAATTTCGAAGGAAAGAACTTTATATCATAGACGAAACTTACGAGCTCTATCAGAAAATTACGCTCCCGTATATCGAATCGAACAGTTTTTCTGTTGAGGTATGTTTACAAAAAATGAGAAACGAAATATACAGAATGAAATGAACAAACATGACAAAAACTCCGTACACCTGTTCGATATAAATTTGATATTGTTTGATACAATAATTTAGGAATCACTTTCGTTGTTTGTATAAAAATTGAATCTTTGTCTCTTGTTGTAGTGGGTGTATAACATTTTGGAACACAAAGCGGAACAGGATAGAATTGTGTATGAAAATAACGACGAGAAAACTGGATTTATAATGGTAAATGATTTGAAATGGGACGGGCAACCAAACACGTTGAAATTAATAGCACTTCCGTTTCAAAAGATTCGATGTATCAGGGAATTAAACGAGTCTCATCTTCCTCTTCTAAAGAATATAAAAGAAGCTGGAACTGCCGCAATTGCTAAGAAATTCAATGTACCTGCATCACAGCTTAGAATTTATTTGCATTATCAGCCGTCCTACTATTATCTTCACGTTCATTTTGCATATCTGATGTTTGAAGCTCCAGGTACGTTTAGAATAAATGTCTTTTATAAATTATTTACTTGTGTATGCGTATGCCTGCAAAATAAATTTTGTTTTATCATAGACGATGTGTGATTGTCTTTACTGACTGTATTTCAACGATTCTCAAATGTGTGTCTTTTTGTGTAGGTATATATGTGGAAAAAGCACATTTGCTGTCTTCAGTTATAAGAAACATTGAGTTAATGTCAAATTATTACACGAAGGCTGTACTTTCCTACGTTGTTACCGAAGGAGATCCGCTGTACACGAAATTTTTGGAAGAAGGAACTATAAATGTAGCAAATTCTAAAAATACAGAAGATTGATAGATAGGATAAGAATTATGTATTAAAATTGACTACATACTAAGAAATATGTATTTATAGTTTACAAATTGAATCGATATTATCATTTACGATTATAATTTTATAATTATTACAGATTATTATAAATTCACTTTTTTTAATTAATATTTTATGTAACTCATTTTTGGTTAAAAGTGTATTATACCACAATTTTTTAGAATTGAAGTGTGAAAAATATGTACGATCTGTCTAGTACTTCAAGAAATCTTAGCATCAGTAGAGCGCTCTGTATTATACATTTACACAACTATCTTTTGGTTTAAAAAATTGTAATAAATAAAAGAGTACCTGTGAACGAATTCGTAGTATGAACAGAAAAGAAATTGACATGTTCTTTTTGAGGAAAACAGTATTCAAATAAGATTGCACGACTTAAAATATTTGAAATATACGAATATGTATATATATAAGAACTTTATATTTTTTAAAATATATTTTTCACTTTGATATTAATAATTTATGTTCAAACATTAAAATGATAAAATGTTAATATTAACAAATATAAACTGTAAAGAAAATGAGGTAATAAAATTAATATTAAATAATTTAATGAATTTTAATACAATCCACTAAAAATATCGATAATTAATTTGTCAACTTGTAAAAATTTCGAACGACAGTTTGCAAAGATTTAAATATTCGCGCCAATTCTTCGATCTGTAGGGAAGAATTTATAAATCTTCGTGGACTCATTTTACAGAACAAATGGAACATAGGAAGAAAGCTGAGCACCTAATTCCAACGATGAAACCGCGAAAGTTTACAAATTAATCTTCTTAATTAGTTTTTTTTGAAAAGAAAGAATTAATCGATTTATGAAATGCTAGCGGCGCATAGCGGTGAAACGGTGGAACTAATCGCTGTTGTCATTCTTGTCACATACTTTTTCCTTATCTGTCACGTAAATATATACTTGTCCTTGTCTCACAGTATTGCGTTCCTTGTCTAGACGCAGTAAGTGCTGCCACCTACCGGATTTTTCCAATTTAAGCTTTTAGTTCCAACGAAATCTAAACTGGGTCAGATGGCAGCACCATTCGTAGACAAGGAATGCAATACTGCGAGACAAGGACAAGTATATATGTACGTGACAGACAAGGAGAGAGACAGCATGTGACAAGGACAGCAACAGCGATTAGTTCCACCATTTCACCGCTACGCGCCGCTAGCATTTCATTGTTCATAAATTGAATAAATTTTCATTTGCAAAAAAATTAATTAAACGAATTAATTTGTACACTTTTGCGGTTGTATCGTCAAAATTGGATCCTCAGCTTTTTTCATACGGTTCCGTTTGTTCGGTAAAACGCGTGTTTAAAGATTTATAAATTCGTTTCAACAGATTGAAGGATTGGCGCGAATATTTGAATGTTTGCAAACTACACTCGTTTGTGTACTGCTTTTATCACGATTATCTTTGCGTTTAAATGCAATAAATCGAAATGCTCGACAAAGAATGCACAACGCAGAATTAAAATTACATTCACGGAAGTAATCTACGTACATAGAATGAACAAAATAATTGTTGACTTCATAGATCTGTTTATTTTTATTAACGCGGGAAAATGAAGAGTTACCAATTATCACGGAAAACTCGACTCGTCTCGGTCATTTCTTCACCATATTAAAAATGAATCCAATGACTTCCTCCTACTCGTTATTATTAACTTTCCTCTGTGCGCCCCGGCGAAACAACAGGTGAGGTAGAAAATTGATGAAATAACGAAAAAGAATGATTTATATGCACACGTGACAATTTAATCATATTAATCGTAATATATAAATTATACACGTGTCATTTTACAATATTTATTTTAATAAATATTTCTATCGTATAAATGGCGGTACACAGTACACAATGAAAAGTCATTAAGTACCAATACCAAAGAAGTACCCCTATTTTTTTCCGCTTTCTTTTTTTCTTCCTTTTTCTCTTTTTTTCTCTTTTTTCTTCTTTTTTTCTCTTTTTTTTTTCCTTCTTCCTTTCGACTCTTACAGAAGGAAAGTATATAATAGTGTAGAATTTATTTACAAAAAAATCGTAACAAGATCGGGGGGGAGATAGTGTACCGTTTATGCATACTAAAATATCATGTTACTTTATTACGTATGAAAATATTATGAAACATTATTCTTTGAGTTTTTAAATATGCACGAACATGTCCGAATTGTGTGTAATTCACTGTGCTGCAATTAAGGGGGAGAACGAGCATGCTCTCTTTCTTCTTCTCATGATCGACGTAATTGCAATCAATCCTTCTCTGTCGTTCGAGCAAGAAGCGTTTAGAAAAAAATTACAAACATAATACTTCGACGAGAGACATGCTAACGAAAGAGAGAGACAGAGAGAAATTGTACTTTTTTTTCCATTGTAAAGGGACGCTTTTCTTTTTTTCAACCCTCGAACGACGACGGTTCAAACACAAATGGAGGATAATTGGCACAACTGTAAAGTAAATTATAATAACATAATTACTCAGAAGTATTCTTTCATCCGATCAGCAGTAGACTGGAGTAATTGAAAAAGAAAAGGAAAGAAACATAATTCAAATCGAATAGGAAAGATCTAACGTGAAAATTCTGCTTTCGAGGCACGTTGAAAAAGAAAATATAATTCCATCTCTCAAGCTTGTGATTCATTTGAGCCTCATCCTCCGATTCTGAAACTGTCCGCCGTCCAAGCGTTGATCGCTGATAACCAGTAAAGTATTTAAAAACTCAATCGAGGAATAATAATAATCTCGTCATCCTTCTCTTTCTGCGCGTTACGTGTCTCCTTTGAGAAAACAGAAAAGTGAAAATAAGAAGAAAAAAAAAAAGAAGGAAAAGAAGAAGATTAACATTAATTGAGCTGTTGACGTAACATACAAAAATTTACTTCCTATATATATATTATAGAAAGATTATATATATATACATATATATACTATATATACTATATATACATATATATACTTATATATATAAGATTATATATACACTTATATATATAAGATTATATATACTTATATATATGATTATACATA